GTTGGTTCCAAATGCTTGTCTCACACTGAACAGAAGAAACAGGTAGATATAAACATAAAAATTATGGGAAAATGGATTCACTGTCATGATGATTTCAGAAGTTATTCAAACGGGGCAAGTTAGCAATTTTTGAACTCCATCAAAAAGGGGGAATTACCCTAGAATTACAGGGAATTTTTGATAAAGAAGAGGTGGATGTTAAAGTTTAAGACAAGAAAAATAAAATATGCTATGAAGCCTGTCCTCCAGCTCTTTTCAGGACAGGCTCACCAATCAGGAAGGGTAAGCCATATCAAAGACTTCACTGAAAAACACCAAGGACAGGCTGGGCATGGTGGCTCACGCCTGTAATCTCAGCACTTTGGGAGGCCGAGGCAGGCAGATCACCTGAGGTCAGGAGTTCAAGACCAGCCTGGCCAACATGGTGAAACCCTGTCTTAAATAATTAATTTAAAAAAAAAAAAGAAAAACACCAAGGATCTCAAAGTCCTCCCCTTTCCCTGGCAACAGCTTTTACTGTCCTCAGATTGTTGGATGAGACACTCACACTGAAAGCAGATTTACAGAATGCTGCTATCATTCAAAGACTCCAAAAGCCTGCTGCATCTTTTCAAAAACTTTCACAGCATTGATTTTTGGTAGACTAAGGAGAAAATTTGCAGAAAAATGACGGTTGTAAGTGAATGTGCAAAACAAAATTGGGAACTAGAGAAGTCAGATTCACTGGACTTTTGGTTCAAGTGCTACTGAACTCTCTCTTGACAAGATGTTTAGTAAGCAGAAGTTAGAAAAGAAACATGACTGGAAACTCTATTCAGTGCACTTTTTCCAAGACTACCCAGAAAAAATATACTTATTTCAGATGCTAATTATCAAGATACATTAAATAGGTGTATTTAGAATCTTAATATGGTATCAGCTAGCAAATATGTTCATGATATTCACTCAATCATCCCAAACAGCAGCTATTTATTTAAATGTTAGCTGTCTCAGAGTTCTTAAATGGCGAATACACTGAAAAATTATACATGGCAGGTTAAAAGCATCAGTGTAATTATTTTGCAACTTAGATGCAAAGCTGAGAGACCTGTTTTTACCACAGCTATGCCTAAACCTCAAAGTGTCCTTGGTTATCACTCTGTAATGGCAACAAATAATCGAACATTAATTTGGCAGCTGGGTGTTCGTAGTTCACACCTGTAATCCCAGCACCAGGAGGCTGAGGTGGGTGGATCACCAGAGGTCAGGAATTTGAGACTACCCTGGCCAACATGGCAAAATTCCACCTCTACTAAAAATGAAAAAAATTAGCTGGGCATGGAGGTGGGCACCTGTATTTCCAGGTACTCAGGAGACTGAGACAGGAGAATCACTTTAAACTGGGAGTTGGAGGTTGCAGTGAGCCGAGATTGTGCCGTTGCAGTGAGCCGAGATTGTGCCATTGCACTCCAGCACTGGCAACAAGAGCAAAACTGAGTCTCAAAAAACAAACAATAACAAATATTAATCTGGCAACAATATCAAAGATATATTTTCATTTAAGAGTAAAATTGTGGCCAGGTGTGGTGGCTCATGCGTGTAATCCCAACACTTTGGGATGTCAAGATGGGAGGATGCCTTGAGGCCAGGATTTCAGGAGTTCAAGCTGGTCAACACAGCAGATCTCCATCTCTTTTTAATTTTAAAAATACAAAAAAAGAGGCGGGGCGTGGTGGCTCACATCTGTAATCCCTGCTTTTTGGGAGTCCAAGGCAGGCAGATCACAGGGTCAGAAGTTTGAGACCAGCCTGACCAACAGGCTGAAGCTGGGCATGGTGCCACATGCCTGTAATCCCAGCTACTTGGGAGGCTGAGGCAGCAGAATGGCTTGAACCCAGGAGGTGGAGGTTTCGGTGAGCCAAGATCACGCCACTGCACTCCAGCCTGGGTTACAGAGCGAGGTTTCTTCTCAAAAAAAAAAAAAAAAAAAAAGAATAAAATTGTATAGCTTAGTATGTTAATAAAAACTTCCAGAATAGGTTTAACAAGAAGGTTGCAGCATACAAGATTAACATATGTATGAAAACTGTATTCTTTTATACTAGTGAACTAGCAGAGAAACTGAAAATTTTAAAATACCAATTACAATAATGTCAGAGAAAAAAATGCCTAGAAAGACCCAAACACTGAAAAATACAAACACAAATGATGCTGTCCTTTAAACAAATTAGGTACAAAGAAAAAAAAAAAACCCAAAACTTTGATCCAATCTTTGGGCCATATAAAGATTTTAACTCAGAGTGCATCATGTACTAGTACCTGAAATACAACATATTAAATATATTGTAATACAGATACTGCTCAACTTATAACAGCACTATGTCCTGATAAACCCACTGTAAGCTGAAACTATAGTTGACAATTTGTAACCCCATCGTAAACTGAGAAATGTATTGAATGCATAATGCATTTGCATCACTGTGAATTAAAAACAATACTAAGTCAAACTCTCATAAGTTGGGAACTATATTTATGTTACCTGTTAAAATAAAATGTTTTGTTATTACATATTTAAATGTACATTTTGTTAATTAAAGTATTAATACATCAAATACACTATCAGGTTTAATATTAAATACATTAAAAATTTTAAATCCTCAAAATTCAGTAAACATTGCAAAACCACATGATTGTGCCACTGCACTTCAGCCTGGGAGACAGAGAAAAACTCTATCTCTATTTGGGGAAAAAAACAAAAATTTCAGGTGGGGCATGATGGCTCACCTGAGATCAGTTGGAGACCAGCCTGGCCAAGATGGTGAAACCAGGTCTCTACTAAAAATACAAAAATTAGCTGGGCATGACGGCAGATGCCTGCAATCCCAGCTACTCAGGAGATGGAGGCAGGAGAATTGCTTGAACCCAGGGGGCAGAGGTTGCAGTGAGCTGAGATAGCACCACTGTACTCCAGCCTGGAGGATAAGAGCAAGACTTCTTCTAAAAAAATAAAGAAAGAAAAATCAAAGTCAATACAAACAGGCAAAAGATTTGAAGACACTTCCCCAAAGGCTTAAAGAAGGCCAGTAAGCATGTGAAACCACTTACATCATTAGCCACTGGAGAAACGCAAATTAAAACCATGATATACTACTGCACACCTACTAAAATGGTCAAAATAAAAAAGACTGACCATACCAATAATTGGCAAGGACGCAGAGGAACTGTAACTCTCATACACTGCTCATGGGAATGTCAAATGGCACAAGCACTTGAGAAGGAGCTATCAGTCTCTTAAAAAGCTGAATGTACACCAGTATATGATGTGATCATTCCACTCTTAAATAGAAGCATATGTTAAAAAAATCTGCATATGGATGTTCAAGGCAGTTTTAACTGCAAAAGCCAAAAGGCAGAAATAACACATGAATGGATAAACAGTTTGTGGTATGCCTTACACTGGAATAGTATTCAGCAGTGAAATGGACTCTACAACATAAATGAATCTAGAAACTACCCTGAATGAAAGATGCCAGACTGTATGATTCCATTTACATAAAAGCTCTACATAATGTAAAGTGGTCCATTCTGAGAGAGAGCAAATGGGTGGATCAGTAGAGTGATAGGCAGGAAAGAGTGAGAAGAAACTATAAAAGGGCATGAGGAAGCCACCTGGTTTAACAGCCTTGTTCATTATATTGATGCTGTGTATGTACACATATGTGTATGTGTCCCAGCTTAAGCAGTATGCTTAAAATATGTGTAGCTGATTAATGGTAATTATACCTCAATAAACTTACTGAAAGAACCTGTCTCAATAATTTCTCAGCAAAAGCGAAAAAGGATCATTAAACACACACTTCACCAAAGACTCATAAGCATATGAAAGTGATGCACAACATCAGTCTTTAAAGACATACACAAAGGCGAACTTATTTAAATAATTTATTTGGTGTTCTTTGCTGGCGCCAATTTTTTTTTTGAGACAGGGTCTCATCCTGTTGCCCAGGCTGGGGTGTAGGGCTCACTGCAACCTCTGCCTCCCTAACCAGGCTCCAGCAATCTTCCCACCCCAGTCTCCTAAAAAGCTGAGACTACAGGCACAAAATACCACATCTGATTACTTTTATTTATTCTTTGTAGAGACGAGGTTTCACTAGATTGCCCAGGCTGGTCTTGAACTTCTGGGCTCAAGTAATCCTTCTGTTTTGGCCACTTTGCTGGAATTAAGGTGTGAGCCGGCATGCCTGGCCAGTACCAATTTTCTTGCACGCAAAAAGTGAAAACTTGTACCCCAAGATGTTCCTAAATTCCTTATTCTTGTAACAAGCTTTTTCAACAAAAAACCCTTTTAGGATATTAAAAAAATTTTTTTTTCTGTTTTTGAGACAGAGTCTCACTGCATCACCCAGGCTGGAGTGCAGTGGCATGATCTCAGCTCACTGAGTCAGAGTTCCTTTTCAGTGTGGATCATGTTTTCTAATGGCCAAGCACAATCAAGGGCTTTCTGACATCTCTTTCATTCATGGGACTTCTCAAAGTGTGCTTTGACACGTTCACAAAGAAGAAGCTAAAAACAAAGAAAAATCTCCACACATCTTACATTCATAAGATTTTTCCACACTTGTGAGATCACAGTTGAATATTAAGGTATAAGGAGAGCGAAAGGTTTCAACACATTCCTTACATTCAGAGGATGTGCATTTATATCCAATGTGCTCACAAGCTCAGCAAGGTCTGAGGAAAATAATGAAAGCTTTCCCACCTTCCTCACATTCATAGCATTTCTCTCCAGCATGAGTTCAGACTCAGTAAGATGTGAGCAATGATTGACGGTTTCCCATATTCTGTTTGTTTCCTAGGATGCACAGACACATGAATAGTAAGTAAGGCCTATGGAAGGAGCCAAGACTTTCCCACATTCCTTACATTCATACAGCTTCTCTTCTATTGAAATTGTTGAGATCTGTGACACCAAGGAAGGCTTCCCACATTCCTCATGATTGTGTATGCTGCCACTGTGAATGAGTACATATTCAGTAAGTGTGAGGTAGTAGTGGCTTTACCACATTCTTTCCAAGTATAAGCTCAAGTGTGAATTCTTACACATTCAGTGAGGGATGAGGAATTCCTAAAGGTTTGCCCACATTCTTTATATGGTTTCTCCCCACTGTGACTTCTTAGATGTTGAGTAAGATATGTGGACTGAGTAAAGCCTTTCCCACATTCCTGACATTCAAAGGGCTGTTCACCAGTGTGAGTTCTCATGTGTACTGTAAGGCCTGATGAGATAGTGAAAGCATGCCCACATTTTTGACATTTATATGGCCTCTCCCGTGTGTGTTCTTTTATGCTGACTAAGGTGTGAGGAGTATCTAAAGGCTTTCCTACATTCTTCACATTCAAAAGGTCTGCACTGTGACTTCTTAAATGACGAATAAGAAACGAGGATCGAATAAAAGCTTTCCCACACTGTTTACAGTCATAGGGCTTTACACCAGGGTGAGTCTGCATGTGACTTTTAAAGCAAGAGGAATTAATAAAGGCTTTTCCACATTCCTTACACTGATAAGGCTTTTCGCCAGTGTGGGTTCTCATATGTACAGTAAGGTGTGAAGAGTTAGCGAAAGCTTTCCCACATTCCTTACATTCATAAGGCTTTTCTCCAGTGTGAGTCTGCCTGTGTTTTATAAGACCTGAAGAATCAGTAAAGGCTTTCCCACATTTGTTACACTCATATGGTTTTTCTCCAGTGTGAACTCTTGTGAGTTCTCCATGTGAATGTTGAGTTTTGAGAAACAAGTAAACTCTCTGCCACATTCATTACAAACATAGTGTTTTCCCCTAGTGCTAGGTCTTTTATGTTTAACAAGACCTGGGGAATAAGCAAAGGCTTTGCCAAATTTCTTACATTCTATAGGTAACACTCTACTAAGAATTCTTTTTTTTGAGACAGAGTTTCACTCTTGCTACCCAGGCTGGAGTGCAATGGCGCGATCTCGGCTCACCGCAACCTCCGCCTCCTGGGTTCAGGCCATTCTCCTGCCTCGGCCTCCTGAGTAGCTGGGATTACAGGCATGTGCCACCATGTCCAGCTAATTTGTTTTGTATTTTTAGTGGAGACGGGGTTTCACCATGTTGACCAGGATGGTCTCGATCTCTTGACCTCGTGATCCACCCGCCTCGGCCTCCCAAAGTGCTGGGATTACAGGCTTGAGCCACCGCGCCCGGCCAACTAAGAATTCCTAAATGTTGAGTAAGATATGAAGACTGAGTGAAGGGTTTCCCACATGCTTTACATTCATGGAGTTTTTATCCATCATGAGTTTGCATGTGTACAAAAAGGCCTGTAGAATGAGAAAAGGTTTTGACACACTCCTTACAAGTATCTGGTCTCTCTCCACCATATATTCTTACACATTCTCTAAGGTGTGATAAGGAAGGTAAGCCTTTTTCACAGTCACTGCATTTATATGGTTTCTCTTGAGTGTGAGTTTTCCTGCAGACAAGATGTTGGCTGAAGGCTGTTTCACATTGATTACAGTTGGGAAGTTCCTCTCCAACATCAGTCTTCTTGTGTAAAGTAAAGGTAGAGGGTTTTGTGAAGGCTTTTTCACACTGATTATGCTCACAGGTTTTTTTTCTAAAGTAAGTTCTCCTGTGAGTCTTAAGGCATGAGTGTTCACTCAAGGTTTTTTCACATTGGTTAAAGTCAAACAGTTCCTCTCCAAAGTGGTTTCTCTCCTGTTGATGAAAATTAATGATGATTCATACAAGTTTTCCAAATTTATTTCATTCAGAGATTCTCCCTTTTACTCTGAATTTTGTTATGCACAGAAAATTAGTATAATTGAAATGCTTTGTTTGTTCCTGCCATTTTCATTGCAATGAATGTTTCAGACCTGAGTGCTTTCAAGTGAAACAAAGTGACTGCAGAAAGTTCTGTTATATTCTTTACTTTCACACAGCTTCTGAACAGTTTACCTGGTAACTGCCCAACAGTGAATTATTTATCAAATACATCTAAGATATCTATATGGGAATATTTAGTTGAAGGAAACATGTAAACAAATATATTTTGAGGGATGTTTAGAGTGCTTATCAAACTCATGATCCACAGTCTCTGCAAGAGACAGATTATTTTGGGTGAAGAATAAGAGTCTCAAATGTCTGAAGGTTATTGTGCTACTTTTCTATTTTATGGAATTTTCAATCTTCCTCTAACTTAGAAGCCAAGAAATTATACCTTCTGAATCTTACCATTTCCACCATACTGAATGTTTTCTCCTGAAAAAAATTCTGCTGAGGTGCTGTCCATTTGGTATTAATATGACTCTCCCAATCTGAAATCAGATGAAAAACAATTTTAAGTTCTTAGAAAAATAATGATTGAAAAAAGGGTGTCAGAAATGCAAGAGTAGTGTGTACTGTACTTTCAAACACAATCTTAAAACAGTTTTTGTTGTTGTTGTTTTGTTTTTAAAGAAAGGGAACCAGAAATTGAGAAATTTGGATGCAATAAGAGTCTAGCAACAGTAAGGTACTAAAATCAAGCTCGTAGGTGATTCACTAAGAAATGGTTCTCCAAACATTGAGACTTTATAGTGAACAAAAAAGAGGCACAGCCAGAGAAACAAAGTAGAAAGGAAATGGATACAGAGCTAAATGCAAATCATAAATGTAAAGAAGAAATGAGACAGATCTTACCATCAGACCACAGGAAAGTTTCCAAGACGGATGAAAAGTGAAAGAGAAAGCGAAGTTAAGGTCCCAACAAATCTCAGCAACCAAATGGCCTTGATATTCTCTCCAAAAAAGTACACTTTGAAAACCTTCCTACTTAACATTTATAAACAGACTGTACCTCTCATAGATGAGTGCTATATCGCACAAATAATCTGTCTTTTCTCTCATCTTGGAGAATTTTCTCCACTGTCTTGAATGCTTCTTGTTTCATGTGAAAAGTAAAACCATATTTGCACAGCTCTCAGAGAAAGATGAATGATGTAAGAATGTGCAAGGGGTAACAAATACTTCCATGACTAAAGGGCCCAGATTTCGCTGTTTGGGCATTCTGAATGCTCTCAGGTATAACTTAAACAACAAAATGTTCATGACAAAAACTTTCAAATGAATCTAAACTGCAAATACTCTTTTCTTTTTCACTCTGCACCATAAGGACTAGCAATCCTTCTCATGAAACACAGGCTCAAGCTCGTATACTTATTCAAGAAGCTCTAAGTCTTATCCATGGAGAAAACAAAGCCAGAACAAGAACAGATCTTTGATTTCATCAGAAAAATCACTAGGCAGTAAGGTCTATGAGACGGAAACAATGTTCAGGGCCATTACATTCAGAGAGTCTAGAATATAGTTACCTAAGACATATTTGTTCCAGGAAAAAAAAAAAAAAACTAAATGAAAAAAATGGTACCAGCCCTACCTACTGCAATTAGATTCTTGTAGTTCTCCAGCATCACATCTCCGTATAAGTTTCTCTGAGTTTGATCCAGCAAAGTCCACTCCTCTGGGGTGAAGTCCACAGCCACATCCTCAAAGGTCACTGAGTCCTACACCATCACACACATGTTGGAACCAGGCAAGTACATTCTCCCCGATGTTCACTGGATAATGAGGACCTTGTTTTGGCATGCCTTGACAAGATTCTGTGGTCTTCTATCACTTGATGGTCCTCACTTTTTTTTTTTCAGATGGAGTCTTGCTCTGTCACCCAGGTTGTAGTGCAGTGGCACGATCTTGGCTCATGGCATCCTCTACCGCCTGGGTTCAAGCGAGTCCCCTGCCTCAGTCTCCTGAGCAGCTGGGACTACAGGCATGTGCCACCATGCCTAGCTAATTTTTTGTGTGTGTGTATTTCAGTAGAGACAGGGTTTCACCATGTTGGCCAGGATGGTCTCGAATCGACCTCATGATCTGCCCACTTTGGCCTCCCAAAGTGCTGGGATTGCAGGCGTGAGCCACTGCACCCAGCCCGATGGTCCTCATTTTGTTCTCTGTCTGTAAATATCCACTGGTGCTCTCATCTAGTCACATGGCTCAAAGAGTACCATTTTCACCTGCGTGTATCTCAGCGTAACTAGATTCTGACTTATTTTTCTTTATTGACAGGTTTTAGCACAATCCTGAATATATTATAGACACTTAAATAAATGCTTCAGTGACAGCACACATTTTGAGAAGCACGTGTTTATTCTCTCCCTCTCTATCACAGCAAAATGAAAGCACACAGTCAATGTGGATGAGAGTCAGACTGAATTAGTAAACACTGTGACAATAGGATCATTTCCCTGCAAAATCTATTAACCACATAAGAGGCACTGTGGTCCAAAGAAGTGTGATGAGAGACATAGTCCCTAAGCAGACCCTCTTTGCTTGCAGGAGCTCTGTTCTACTAGGAGAAAACATACCTACATGGTAGGAAGAAGCATATGCTCCTACAGAAAAATGAACTTCCTGTAGGTCAAAATAGGCAGAGGCAGATCTATGTTATTTTTAGCTAAATAATTATAAGTTTGCTTTGCTTATCGTACACTGAAGTTTGTACTCCCAACTAAGCTATATCAAATATTGGTGCAGTAAAATAGAAATCAAGCAGCAACAGGAGGTCTAAGGTAAAGACCATCTGAGAGCACTGTAAAACCATGGAACACCACAGGGTGGTTGCAGAGCAGGAAATACTGCTTTGATCCCACAAATGCCACCTTAACATAGAGTTTAAAGGAGGGTCTCCTAAAGAGGGCTTATGCAAGATCTCTGAGAAGGAAGGGAGGCGACCGCTGCTCACAAGATCCGGGAGGGTCTTTGCAGACGGCAGCTTACAAGGAAGAAAAGCCTTGCAGGTCAGAGATTACCAGAATGCCACAGGCTCTGCCTAGGTTCTCAGAATATAGAGTAATTTTGATTGCTCTGTGTCTGCAATTCCCAGAAGATAAAAGCACCTCAATGTGTTGAGTGTGGTCAGACTTGGTGGTGCCTTATGTGCTATGCTTCTGATGCAAATGCACCTTGACAGCAACTTGTGATAGAATTCAGGGTTCTGGGTTTGCATAAGAATCACGTCTGCTACTGAATACTGCAGACCAAACTTCTCTCCCTGGCTATCTTGCCCACATTAGTCTCAAGGCCTCACCCAGTAGTTTCAAGGCCTCCCCTGATCACCCCTCGATTAACAAGTGTATGCACCTAATAAAACCCTATGGAAACCAGAACTCAGTGCCAACGCAGACCCCATACTTGTGCTGGTCCCATGGACCCATGCTGTAAAATTCTACTCGTGTCTATGTCCTTTTCTCAATCCCTCATCACCGTCAGGACTAAGGGCACCCACGAATAGGATTGGGGCTGGTACCTAACAATTTCCTACTTACCTGAGAGTAATTTGTCAACCACCCAGCCACCATCCTCTCCTCTTCAAATTTTGCCTCATGAAGATAGAAAAAGTCTTGAAAGAGATGATCTTGAGAAGAAGAAATAAAACCTGAGAATCCAGGCTGCCAACAGCTTCCATACTCACAAGCTGAAAAGCCACCTCATACTAATGCTAAGTGGACACACACACATTGTTACAATAAAATGCCTGAGCAGCCTATCTCACCAGAAGCAAGAAAATATGCCTCAGGCTTTGATGACCAGGAGAGAGAGAGAGTTTAACAATCCCTTTTTATAAAAAAAAAAAAAGTCCAAAGAAGTTAACATTTTCCTTATTTGCCAAAAATGATGAAACTCAGGCCGGGCGCGGTGGCTCACACCTGTAATTCCAGCACTTTGGGAGGTCGAGATGGGTGGATCACGAGGTCAAGAGATCGAGACCATCCTGGGCAACATGGTGAAACCCTGTCTCTACTAAAAATACAAAAAATTAGCTGGGCATGGTGGCGCGTGCCTGTAATCCCAGCTACTCAGGAGGCTGAGGCAGGAAAATTGCCTGAACCCAGGAGGTGGAGGTTGCGGTGAGCCAAGATCGTGCCATTGCACTCCAGCCTGGGTAACAAGAGCGAAACTCCATCTCAAAAAAAAAAAAAAAAAGATGAAACTCATCATTCGATTAAACAGAACCTCTTCCACAAAAGCATGCATACTCAACCCTCCTTCCCAAATCCCAGGATTTAGACTATAGACTATTCATATCTAATTTAGTCCCTCCTAGATATTTCAAAAGCACAGACACTTAGACCCTAAACCCTAATCACAAAACAAGCTGTTCACAGACTGATTAAAGCAGGGTCTCAAAGAGCATCAACACAGACTTACCACAAAGGGAAAGATCAATGGCTGGCATCCTGTGAATCTAACAGTGGAATGTGCCTGAATATCTTGTTCCCAAAGTCTCTTCAAGACATTGTCTAAATTTATGGGTAGGTCAATCTTAATTCCTCTTAAGTAGTAATGGGAGTCTTGCCTCAAACTGTCAATCTTTAAGCAACAGGCATTACTCATCTGTCATCAAGCACCATTCATTAGCCAGCTCCCTGCAGAAGATGAAGTTGTTCATGTGAATGCCACTGGAGTATTATGCCACATGGATGTAAACAATAACAAATGCCATTTACCTGGTACTCATGTGCCAGAAACAGTGGTAGTGTAAGTTTCATATAATTACCAAAGCAGTTTTTTGTCACTATCACATTAGATGAAGAAACCTAAGCTCAGAAATTAACTGACCCAACATCACCAATTAGGAACTGGTGAGCCAGGGCATGAATGCAGGTTACTCTGAAAAGCCTAAACTCCGGAGGTTCCTCTTGTTCTCAAACATGACCATGAGATGGGCATGAAATGATGTGCAGAAAAGGTTAACTGAACCCCTGCAGAGAAAGATCTGTCCTCAGGACGGACACTTGGCTCAGTTTGTGAGATGACCTTTTAGCCTATGGAATACCTTGCCTGTTAAGTGTATATTTTTATATGCTTAAGTTCCTGAGCCAAACTATACTAGTGTGACCAGGGAGTGTATCTAACAATATGATTTATGCTGAAGGCCTGTTTTTGTATGTCTGAGGCTTTTGGCAATAAAGTGTGAGTATGAACTGTGAGGGGGCTGGGCCTAAGTGTATGATGTAAGTCATGCAGGTGCTGTATGCCTGCGGGACTGACCCTCAGTAAGTAAAAGTCCTGGACACCGAAAGCTCAGTGAGCTTCCCTAGTTGGCAACGGTTTGCATGGATATTACACACTGTTACTAGGATAATTAAGCACTGTCCATGTGACATGGGAGAAAACTACATGGGAGAGAAGCTTGGTTTCTTCTAGACTTCATCCCATTCATCTTTTCCTCTTGCAGATTCTAATCTGTACCCTTTTACTGTAATAAACCATAACTGTAGGTTTAACAGCTTCTGAGTCCTGTGAGTGTTTATATCATTGAGCATAAGGGTGGTGGTCTTGAGGACCCCCCAAAACAAATGGTTTATTGAATTCAGATGTCTTTAGCTCCTCCAGCTGGCAGTGATATAGGCCAGGTGGCGTCCCTTCAAGTCCTTATCTCTGGTTTATGCTTGCATTCATTCTGCAAATATTTATAAAGGACCTTACCTTTGTGAAGTAATATACTAGACACTTAGGACACAGTGGTCAACTATACAGAAAATGTCCTAGACCTTAGGAATCTTGCATTCTAAAGGGATAAGCAGATAATAAACACACAAGTATGGTTTTTTTTTAGATGGAGTTTTGCTCCTGTGGCCCAGGCTGGAGTGCAGTGGTGCCATCTCAGCTCACTGCACCCTCCACCTCCTAAGTAGCTAGGATTATAGGCATGCACCTACCACACCTGGCTAATTTTGTATTTTTAGTAGAGATGGGGTTTCCCCATGTTGGTCAGGCTGGTCTTGAACTCCCAACCTCAGGTGATCTGCCTGCCTTCGCCTCCCAAAGTGCTAAGATTACAGGCATGAGCCACCACGTCCACCCATAAATATGTATTATGTCAGTTGGTGACAAGTGCTACAGAAAAAAGTAGATGAATGGGTATGTCGTATCACACTCCACCTCTCCTACCACACACATATAAACGTATATTTATAGACTCAAACTGTTCTGGGAAAGAAAACAGAGGACAATAACCGTAAGACACTTAAAAGTGCCATCTGGCTTGCCTAAAAGTGACATTCAACTTTTTATCCAAAGCAATAGAGTAATACTAATGGTTCACAAAAGACACTCAGAATACATTTCAAGTGCTAAGGCTAATGCCTAGATGTAGCCAATTAAGTAATTTCTTTACTTTGCTTCCACATTCAGTCTACAAAAGCCAGCTGTGCATGCTGCTACAGCAGAGCCCCGGAACCTCTTTAGATACTGAGCGCTGCCGGACTGACGAATCTTTTAATGCTTAACTAAACTATTACATTTATCTGAAGTTTTTCTTTTATCTGAAGTTTTCCTAGCAGAGAGTAGAAAATGTATGGGGTATGGCTCATGCGGGTAATCCCAGGACTTTGGGTGGCCAAAGCAGGTTGATCACTTGAGCTCACAAGTTTAAGACCAGCCTGGTAACATGGGAGAACCCCATCTCTACAAAAAACACAAACCATTTATGGTACATGTCTGTAGTCCCAGCTACTTGGGAGGCTGAGGTAGGAAGATGGCTTGAGCCTGGGAGGCAAAGGTTGCAGTGAGCTGAGATCATACCACTGCATGCCAGTCTGGCCGACAGAGCCAGACCTAGTCTCAACAAAAAAGAAAAAGAAAAAAGAAAATGTATGGCATGAATGAAATGCTGAATGACATATTATGCAAAAGTTTGTTCATTTTATACTTTTCTGGGGGTATGAGGGAGCCAGGGCTTCTCTCTGTCACCAAGGTTGGAGTGCAATAATAGGATCAAGTTCACAGCAGCCTTGAACTCCTGGGCACAAGCAATCTTCCTGCCTCAGCTTTGTGAGTAGCTAGGACTTTAGGCACAAACCACCACGACACCTGGCCAACTAAAAAAATTCTTTTGGTAGAGATTGGTGGTGGGGTTGGTGGGGAGAAGGGGTTCCTCACAATGCTGGCAAGGCTGATCTTGAACTCCTGGGCTCAAGTGATCCTCCTGCCCTGACCTCCCAAAGTGCTGGGATTACAGGTGTGAGCCACCACTGCCCAGACAATTTTATACTTCTAAAAAAACCTGTATCTTGGGTTTACTGATATCAGTTCTACTTTTTTCCCATTAAATGTTGCTTTTAGTATTAGTACTTATGTTTTCTTTACATTCGTTTAGCTAATTTCTTTCAAACACTTGGAAATGACATCTGAATTTTTTTTTTTTTTTTTTTCTCTGAGACAGTGTCTTGCTCTGTCACCTAGACTGGAGTGCAATGGCATGACCCTGACTCACTGCAACCTCCGCCTCCTGGGTTCAAGCGATTCTCCTGTCTCAGCTTCTGGAGTAACTGGGATTATAGGCACATGTTGCCACGCCTGGCTAACTTTTTGTATTTTCAGTAGAGACGGGGTTTCACCATGTTCCCCAGGCTGGTCTCAAATTCCTGAGTTCAGGCAATCCACCTGCCTTGGCCTCCCAAAGTGCAGGGATTACAGGCACCGTGACTAGCTGACATCTGAATTTTTTAAACATGTAATCGAAATATGTACTCACAAAAGTGTAGAATTACAAAGGTATAATGCATTATCATTAATTTCTACAGCTTGATGCACACATGACACATCTAAATCATTACCCCTCTCTTCTCAAATGGAAGCACTATTCTCACTTCTAACACTATAAATTAATTTTGTCTGTTTTTAAACTTTAAATAAAATCATCTTAGTTTATGTCTAGCCTTTTTTTTTTTTTTTTGAGACGGAGTTTCGCTCTTGTTACCCAGGCTGGAGAGCAATGGCGCGATCTCGGCTCACCGCAACCTCCACCTCCTGCATTCAGGCATTTCTCCTGCCTCAGCCTCGTGAGTGGCTGGGATTACAGGCACGTGCCACCATGCCCAGCTAATTTTTTGTATTTTTAGTAGAGATGGGGTTTCACCATGTTGACCAGAATGGTCTCTATCTCTTGACCTCGTGATCCACCTGCCTCGGCCTCCCAAAGTGCTGGGATTACAGGCGTGAGCCACGGCACCCGGCCTATGTCTAGCTTTTTTGATTCAACATTATGTTTATAAGAGTCATCCATATTTTTGCACATAGCTGTAGTTCTTTTCCTTTTTCCTAAAAGTTCTCCATAATACAGGTTGAGTATCTCTAATCTCAAAATCTGAAATCCAAAATGCTCCAAAAAAACTTTTTGAGCACAGACATGATACTCAAAGAAAACACTCACCGGAATATTTTAAATTTCAGAAGTATAATGCAAATATTCCAAAATCTGAAATCCAAATCACTTCTGGTCCCAAATATTTCTGATACTTAACCAGTATACCACGGTTTATTTATGTATTCTTGTAGACAGACATTTGAGTTGTTAATTCTGGGCTATTTCAAATAAGGCTGTTACGTAGTTGTATGTAAGGGTATATCCTCACGTTCAAACTTAGAACTTAATGCATAACCATTTTTCAAAACACGTCTACTTTACACACTAAAAGTATATGCAAACTCTAGCTTCTCTAAATTCTCCTCAACACTTGGTATTATAAACCTTTTTGCATTTAGCCATTCTGATGCATGTGTAGTGGCAGATTTAATTTTCATTTGCCTGATTATAGATGAGGATAAAAACTTTCATTTTTTATGTTTATTATCCATAGCACAGTCAGTTTTGTGAAGAGCCTGTTCTAGCCTCTAATTTTCTATTGGATTGTTTGAATTTTAGGAATTAATGTGTAAAAGAGTTCTTAATATATTTTGGATATAAGCCTTTTTTTGTCAGTCACATATGTGGGAATTATCTCCTCTTATTCTGAGGCTTTGTATGTTTTGTTTTCCGGTGGAGGTCCGTCTGGGACAGGGCCCTGTTCTGTTGCCCAGACTGAAGTGCTACTGCACTTCACAATTTTGGCTCACCGCAGCCCTGACCTCCTGGACTCAAGCAATCTTCTTGCTTCAACCTTCCCAGTAGCTAGGACAAGAAGCATGTGACACGTCCAGCTAATTCTTTAATTTTCTGCAGAGATAGGGTCTTGCTATGTTGCTCAAGTTGGAGGCAAGTGATTCGGCTGCCTTGGCCTCCCCAAATGCTGGGATTATAGGTGTCAGCCACTACGCCTAGCTTCCTTTGGAATTATTTTTAACTTCATTTAAAAAAAATAGGGAATTTGGCAACATATAGTTAAATTATATATGCATTTACCCTTTGACTTAGAAGTCCCATTTCTAAAAATCCTCCTGGATGTATAACTCTACAAATACATGTTTTAAAATTATCTGGCTGGGCATGGTGGCTCATGTATGTAATCCTAGCACTTTGGGATGCACAGGTAGGTGGTTGCTTGAGCCCAGCCTAGGCAACATGGTAAAACCCTGTCCCTACAAAAAATATTAGCCAGGTGTTGTAGCAAGCACCTACAGTCCCAGCTACTCGGGAGACTGA